TTAACTATAGTTTACGAATGATAATCTAAGTTTATCTGTCTGTAATAAGCGTTAACAATAGATTTTGTTGATGAACATAGATTCACGTTTGTAAACTATAGTTTACAATCGTAAACTATAGTTAAGAGTTGTTAATCATAGTTTCACAAATCGTGAAACTATATCTATCAGATCGTTAACTATAGTTAAGGATAACACATGATAACAGAAAATTGTACTATGTGAATTATCATGTTCAAGCGGATTTGAGTTCATTTAACTCGATTTTGTTATCTCTCTTTTAGGTAGATGGCTACATGATGTTGAAACTAGAGTAGGCAACACGTCAAATTGGTCCAAGATGTCAACTTGTGGAACATTCATTGGACCAAGTAAAACGGGAGAAATTCACATCATTGAATGCAAGACACCCCTTTATGGAAAATACGTCACAGTGAAAATTGTCAAACCGAACTACATTACAGACGATTACGCAGCAAGAGGCGGGAGAAATGCTCTAGTTTTAGAAGAAGTTGTCGTTAATGGCATTGTCTTGTAACCCATGCATAGCAGTGCATACTTAAATTACATGTATTAAGAAAGGAAAATACAAAGTTAAATGTCAAAATACATGTAAATGTACTGTTTTGTGTGAGAGAGAGAGAGAGAGAGAGAGTGTATGAGGGCGTGTTTGCCAGTGTAAGGATTCTTAGGAGGGGAGGGGTGTTAGAAATTTCACGTCATACCCAGGTATTTTTGCCTTTCTGGCTGATATTGGATTCTCGCTTAAATATATATAGGATGTGATGTATATTATGACATATTGCATTAATACATATGCTTTCCCTTAAAGATGTGAGGAGAAATCCGTCTGGAGAAATTTGTAAAAATACATGTGTTCCTTCTTCTGTCGGTTGCTTTTAGATGATGTTTGCTTTATATTTGAATTTTGGTTGGCATGGTTATTAGGGGGGTGGTTTAACTGGATTTAGAGGGAGAAGAGGGTCAGTGGATGGAAAGCTGCTAATCTGTAGCTCGCTGGTCTGAAAAAAGTAGGATGGACGACCAGAGAGCTACTGTAACAGTTCTACTCATTTAAAACTCATTGAAAAAGTGTTTAAAAGTGTGTATTTATTGCGCTCAAAATTATTTCTCGATTTATTTCTCCTTTAAGTTTTATTATATCCACCGCTTGAAAAGTAGGGGGGGGGGGAATGGTGGGCAGTTTATTCTTAAGATCACAACCACGTGATTTTTTTTCTCTTTAATATTCATAAGATCCTGTGTAAACTCAAAATTCTTTAACATTAATTTGATATACTTGAACCAAGCAAACCTGTTTTGTTTTATTTTTATCTTCTAATTAAGCCCCTTACATTGTTATATTAGTTACATTTTGTGTGATAAACAACTGACAGGGATACCTTCAATATTACAGAAAAAATGACAATTTTCATTTTGATTGTCTCGTGATAACGTTTTAAATTAAGCAGTTCACTTATTTGCAAGAAATGGTCATTTTCAATTTAAAATTATTTCTTCACGAAATGATAAATCAAGTGTATTCTATAAAAATAAGCTCTCTCTTGTATCTATACACCGGCGGAAGAACTCTGTCAACTTGCAAAAAAACATTTACATTTCATCATCAAAAATGATAAAAACACTAATTCTGTACGCATTCCCTCATTAAAACAGTATTGTCTCGCTTCGGTATCGTTTTATGAGCTCATTGCTCACAGTACCTCTAGTTTATGCTGCCATTATACTAACCTATAATAATAACCTGTTCCTATTGTATTCCTTAACTACTTCCATAACAAAACATCTCCCCCAAACGTAGTTTACATGTAGTCCTTCTCGGCCTGAAAATGAGATCATACCGGTATACTATTTTTACTGCCATATTAGGTGACAATATAGTTTGGTTTAATGCGCTATGTGCATGGCTTGTAAAAATGCAGTTTTGGTGTGGAAGTAGTAAAAGAGCATTTGTTTGAAACATACTTTTTGTTAAAATTTTGAAATATACGGTGAAAAAAGTGCGCAAAAAATATACTGTTTTAGAATGGGTGGTAATGTAGCTCTCTGGTCGTCCATTCTAATTTTTTCAGACCTGCGAGCTACATATCTAGATCTGAAGCTAACGGAAGGAGGGAAAAAAATTTCATGAAACTCCGTGCATATGCATAAGCCTTCAATTTGTAAACTTAAACAAATGATGTTTGGTTGATATAGATTTCTCTTACCATGCACCGACAAGAGCCTAAAAGTTGGGGGCTAATTAAACTACTTAGTATTTTGAATCCACATTATGGAGGGACAAGGAATGTCAATAGAAACGTATGAAGGAATGTTGTCTTAGTATATTTAAACTAAAGACTCTCTGTTCATATAATTATTTATTGTTTCATCATTTACAAAATAAATGACATTATTCATACGTTCTTATATAAGTATTCTTTTTCGCCTGTTTATATCCGAAATCAACTTCCATGACATGGTTTAACGAACAAAGAAACATAGATATTAACGCGTGACACGGGGTTTTTCAAGAATACTCTTTACAAAACACAAAATGTTTTCATTGTATTCAGAAGGAAACTCTTCCCATCTCACAGTAAAAAAAGTTTTAAAAATACATCCCATGAATACTGCATCTTTCGCGGAAAACTTTGAAAGGCGAATTTCAAACACATTTTAATCCATATTGAATATAAAAAGAACAAATAATATTATATAGTCTTAAATTTGTTCTCGCTATTTTACAGATCGAGAACTGGAATTTTGCAAGGAGTACTAATTTTATAGTCGACGGCTTAATTGTACACCTGGACAATATACGGAGGCTCTTTTGCATAAAAATATTTAGCTCAAAATGTTTATAAAAAGTTTCATCAAATTTCATCTCTATACCACTGAATGAAATTTGATGAAACTTTTACAGAATCCTTATCACATATTGTCATTATGACCCTCCTATTTTACTTTTTGATCCGACACATATTTTGGGTTTACCAAAGCAAAACATGGACACTTCTATTTTATACATATGGGAGGCGGGGGTATCATTTTGTGAGCTCATTCCTCGCCGTACCTCTAGTTTAATATTTGTTTTACTGTGTGAACTTGTGAAAAGTTAAAATTATTTTAAAAAACCATATGGCTAGAATAATTTGAGTGACTTGCCCGCATCCTCTATGACATTACGTGCCTGATCCATGCTTGATAAACTTATATGTTTTTATTTTTTAACCATAATTCAATGAATGTAAAAAAATTTTTTGCTCAATATTTAAGGGACCTTTTAGGGTTAAAAGTATTGAACTTATCTAGTATTTAATTGGTTAAATTTTAATCTTCCCTGTTTAAGCCTATATATAAAGTTGTGAATATATTCAAAAACGCTTTCTTCCAGTGACGTTTTTGATAAGACAGCAACAAGAAAGTTAAAAATGGCAATGGTGTGGGCAGCGCTCCTTATGTCCGGCATCGTATGTATAAGTTCTCAGTACATTTACTCGGAAAACAATCGCAGTGCAAGAAATGGAGAGACAATGGTACAAATCCGAGGACTATTGATTCAACAAATGAGAATACAAGAATCTGTTGATTCCCTCAGGCAGATGGTAAAGAGACTGGAGGAAGATGTTACCAATATCATTGAAGATGTTCAAATTGTCAAGAAAGGTAAATCAATCTCTCTCTCTCTCTCTCTCTCTCTCTCTCTCTCTCTCTCTCTTGATCCCTGTCTCTATCTCAATTCTAGATCTAGATTGTGTACTCGTCTATCCTTCTGTATTCATTACTCCAGAAGTGAAAAAAGAATTAGGTAGATTACATTCACAGTACATAATGGTCCCTGATGACAAAGCAGATAACAACATGGTCTTTGTTTGAAAGGCTCTTTATATAAATTGTGTTTTAGAAAAAAACTTGGATTTAATTCTACAAGTGGTAATCCAACTTATACACACGGTTCCCTTTCTAAAGAAGAAAGTCTTCAAATTCAAATGTTAGTCTTAAATATTTTTAATATCCCCAAGAACCAAAGTGATTTTGATCTACCATATATTTTTATATATTGGACTCTGAAACTTCACAAGATTTCTTACAAACAAAGTTACATGGGTTCCAGTATATGTTCAACCAAACCTCTTTATTTACTCCTCACTAAGATATTAACAGTAGTGAAGGAGAAACTTCAAGAATACACTGAGCAACAATATATTCAAGAAGTGGTGTGAATCAGATGTGGATACACAAAAATTCCAAAGAACGATTGGACAATTTGAAATCACAAGATTTTAACAAAATCAAGAACTTAAAAACTTACTACTTTTTAACTTTATACAAACCATTCCCCACGATATATTAAAGTCCAGGCTTTTTTTATATCATTGACAGCTGCTTTTTCAATAAAACTGGAACTCCTAATTTTTTGTCAGTTTGTCCGAAAAATAATTGAGTCCATTCTGTCTTTATTAAGTACAATATAGTTACTGTTAATAGTCTAAAATTTCTATAGTAAGTTCTACATGTATACATTAAAGAGAGTAAAATACTATAATAAGTACCTATATTTATATATATTTTCTGTTTTAAATTCTTTACTACTTATAGTAAGTACCTATATTATATCTGGACACTGTTTTAGACTTTCTAAAGTACGTTCTATACTTTTTAGAGAACTATGCTTTTTAGAGTCTTTGCTATCTATAGCAAGTACTATACTTTTAGAGTCTATGCTATCTATAGTAAGTACTATACTTTTTAGAATCTATGCTATAAATAGTTAGTACTATACTTTGTAGAGTCTATACCGGGTACTATCTATAGTAAGTACTAGAATCTATGCTTTGAATAGTTATAGTAATAACTATACTTTTTAGAGTCTATGCTTTCAATAGTTATAGTAAGTACTATACGCTCTAGAGTCTATGCTTTCAATAGTGATATTAAGTACTATACGTTTTAGAGTCTATACGTTCTTTAGTCATAGTAAGTACTGTACTTTGTAGAGTATTTAATACCTGGTCCTTGTTCCACTTCTGATTCCTGTCCAGATGGCGCTGCGTGTAAGGAAGGCGTCTGCTCCTGTAATGAAAGATACCTAAACTACAAAGACGTTTGCCGCAAAGGTTTGAAATGTTTGAATTTATACTTCCGAACAGATCCACTATATAATGTAAAAAAAATTATTTTATCAACAAATTATATATATAAAAAAAGCTTCAGCAACAAATTTTAATATAATTTTTCTAAAAAGTATTCTTTCAAGGTGTAAATTAACTTATTTTTTCTTTAGTAACAAATCTGGCGCTCAAAAAGACTGTTTCTGCTAGTTCTACTTTTTTCTCTAAGAACAATAGAAGATGGGAAAATGCTGTGGATGGACGTACACGTGTGAATAATATTAGGCTATTATTTCACACGGATTATGAACTATTTCCTTGGTTATCCATTTATCTGGGAACTGAAATATGCGTCGTCAAAAGTATTATTTTATTTAACAGGATCGACATTCATGGTAAGTTATTAATTCAGTCCACGTGTGAGTAAAATGCATAAACATTATATTTAAAAGTTTGTCATAATCAAAAAATAAATTGATATATTGACTTCACAAAACAATAATAAAGGGCACAAATTGCAGGTCGATACGCTTACGCTATACCGTGAATACATTGTAGTTACATTGCATAAGAGTTTTAAAGGCATTTAGAACAATTCTCTGTCATCTTTGGACTTTCAGTGAGACGTGTCATTCTTGAAGCTACGTAATTAGCGTCTTTCAAATGGCGACCTAGGTTCTCATTGGTAACGACATTAATAAAATCAGCAACTTTACATTGTTGTTGACACCGATGACATGACGTAAGCCTCACCACTTCGCCGTACGAAACGGTGTCATTAAATAATTTTAACTCGCTCAAATTCGCCCGAATTTCTATCCCATGTATAGTTTACCGGTATTCAACAGTGAATGAAAGGTTGTACAAACTGCAGATGCTAATTATGTAAGGTTGATAATGTCACGCTTTACTGAAAGTCCAATGATAACAGAGAATTGTACTATCTGAATAATAATGTTCAAGAGGATTAGAGATTCATTCTTGGTATCACAACTTTAGGTAGATGGTTACATGATGTTGAAACCAGGGTAGGCAAAATGTCAAATTGGTCCCAGATGTCAACTTGTGGAACATTCATTGGACCCAGTAAAACGGGAGAAACTCACGTCATTGAATGCAAGACACCCCTTTATGGAAAATACGTCACAGTGAAAATTGTCAAACCGAACTACATAACAGACGATCCTGAAGCTCGAGGCGGGAAAAATGCTCTAGTTTTAGAAGAAGTTATCGTTAATGGCATTGTATTGTAACCCATGCATAGCAGTACATGCTTAAATTCTTAAGAAAAGAAAATCCAAAGTTAAATGTCAAACTACATGTACATGTACTGTTTTGTGTGTGTGTGTGTGTGTGCCAGTGTATACGTATGTATGAGATTGTTCTCTTTTTTTTTCGGGGGGGGGGGGGGGGGGGGGGGGTTAGAGATTTCACGTCATATCCAGGTTTTTTTCGCCCTCCTGACTGATTTTGGATTCTCGCTGTGATATATAGTATAGGATATATAATGCATATTTTGACATAATACATTAATTCACATGCATTCTCTTCGTTTTGTCATATATATATATATAGTAATAAAAGATGTGAGGAGAAAATCGTCCAGCATTTTGTAGAAAAGAAATGAACTTGTATTTCCTTAAGATAAATTAGCTCACTGACAAGAGTGGTTATAAGATCACCAGTTACGTGAATTAGCATTTCATCATTCAAAATTACATGTTTTCCTTCTACTGTTGCTTTTAAATGGTATTTGCTTTATATCTGAATTTGGTTGCCGTGGTTATTTGGGGGAAGGGGGTTGAAAAGGGGATTTGGAGTGAGAAGAGGGTCAGTGGGTGGATAGCCGCAGCTAGATCTGTAGCTCGCTTGTCTGAAAAAATTAGGATGGACGACTAGCATGCTACAGTGCTACTCATTGAAAAAAGTGTGTACTAGTATATTGCGCACAAAAATTGAGCCGTTTCTCGATTTATTTCTCAAAATTTAACTAACCATATTTCCTAGCATATCCCTTTACCACTTCCACAAGAAAACATTTTCCCCTAACATTGCTTTAGGATAGTCTTTCGATCTCGCCCTGAAAATGAGACCATGTAAAATTTCTATTTATACTGCCATAAGGGGCAAGATAATTTCGTCCAATGCGCTTCGTGCATGACTTGTACATGCAGTCTTGAGGAAGTAGTAAAAGAATATGTTTAAAACACATTCTCAGTAATAATTTAATTTTTGAAATATACGGTGAAAAAAGTAAAAAAAAAAAACAAAAACAAAAAAACAGCGCACTTTTTGTGCGCAAAAAATGCACACCTCAGTGAGTGGTACTGTAGCTCTCTCGTCGTCCATCCTAATCTTTTTCAGATCAGCGAGCTACAGATCTGCAGCTAATTAACGGAAGAAGCGAAAGAAAATTTCCTGAAAGTCTTCATCTTGTAAACTTAAACAGGTGATGTATGGTTGATATCGATTTCTCTTTCCATGGCAACGGGTCCAAAATGTTGGAGGTACTATAGTTTATGGAGGGAAGAGGAATGTCAATAGTAACATAGGTAGGAATTTCGTCTAAGTATATAAACTAAAGGATTGTTTTAGTCTTAAGCTTCGTGTTATTATTTGAGAAAGCAAAGGGACCAAAAGCCAAAAAATTAAGATATTGTCCATGGGGCTTTACGTTATGATTTTTGCTCTGAAAATGAAATAAATGGTTAATTTTTGTAAAATATTTCTGATGTGACTAGACAAATATAAATTTTAATATTGTTTCGTCTGGTTTTGCTAAGGAGATTATCATAATATTTCAGTGATTCACTGAGAAGAATCATTCATGTTTTCTTTTAGTAATTACATTCCATTTCATCTAGGACCATTTCCAGCTTAGTTTGGACTTAAATTTCAGTAAGGCGTGGCATTCTCGACGTTACATAATTAGCTTCTGAAATTTACACTGCTTTCCTTCACTGTTAAAATATACATGGGATAGAAATTCAGGCAAATGCCAATTAGTGTATCGAATAACCAATTACGTACATTGTTAAGTCCTGCAAGGAGGTGGAGCTTAAGTCGTCTCATCGTTGTCAACAACAATTTAAAGTTCCTGATGTTATTAATTTCTTAACCATTGAGAATCTATTCGCCATTTGCCAGGCAGTAAACTTGTAGCGCCAAGAATGCCACGCCTAACTGAAAGTCCAAACTAAGCTGGAAATGGTTCTACAATTATTGTATACATGTAATATGCATGCATAAACAATTCCCAATTAATTATTAGACTTTATCTTAAAATTAAGATATCGTTGAATGTTATTGAGAATATAACTTGGTTTCCTTGTTAACTTGGCAGTAAAAGGGATAAAGTGATTTTTTATAGTTCCACTATCCCGCCGCATGAACATGCATTTAGGGTTCAAAATTGCCAAAAATTGTCATTTTTAAATTCATTAAAACCTTTACCATAATTTCCATTCATCCATGACTTCTCAGATTTCAAAGGTGGGTAGAATAGAATGGAACCACCCCATCCCCACCCCATGCACCCCCGCTCCTTCTCAAGCCATGTTGAAAATGTTCATTGAAAGGTCGGTTGACCCCTTTTTGTTGCAGAAAAGTAAAATTGCCCCATGAAACGTTCACCACCATATATATATACATATATATACATATATACTCTTCAAAAAAAAAAAAAAAAAAACGCATAATAGGAACAATGCCCTGAAAAATGTATGATAGTTTTGTCAAACCTTTTATTTTTATATAGATATGATGTATTCGAGTGAAATGTGTGATTTTTTTTTTATGCAATTGTTAACTTTACATCTATTCTACAAGTCTCACAGACAAAAAGACCTGATTTTGCAAAATTTTATCTCAATTTTCATTTGTTAATTCTGATGCAATTCCTTCAGGTACAAAGGGGCTATCAACAGCGGGGGTTCTCGATATTTTGAATCTGGATTTATCTGAAAAATGACGCTTCCTAAAAATGCTGCATCTGAATGTTGCATAGCACAAAAATGAAAATGGGCGACTGGAAGCAGGGGTACCGAAATCTACAATTGCAAGTGGTTTTAATGTTACGCACAGTGCCATATCTAACCTATAAAACATAAACCATTAACACTGAACACCCAATGTTCGCAAAAAAATATGGTAGACTACGTGTGACATCAGCAGCACAGCATCACTTCAGAGGATTACGTAAATTGCTTGAATGTAATGTAATGACATCACCTAAAGCATTAGCTATCCTTGAACTGCACAGATCATCTAACAAGACCGTTTTCACTTGACTACAATATTGCAAGAGGATTATTCATGCCATTGTTCTGACCCCACAACACCCCAAATATCGACTTCAAAGATCTCAGATCAAGAGAGTACAAGAAACATATTGACGCAAGCGTCAAAAATCGGTCGCAAACCAATTAATTAATTCTTTCATATAATAAAGTAGAAACTGAATTCTTATATTTATCTGTTAATTAATATATCCCTGTGACATTAAACATTTGAATGCGACATCCCAGGATTTTCTTCAGTACATAATACATGTACATTGCAACTTACTCTTAGCCCTCTGCGTCCCCGCACCCAGTAAGTTTAATCGGTACTAATACTATTAACGAACTCTGGCGGAAGTTTGATGTTTAAGTAGTTTTAACACTTAACCATTAAAACTAACGTTTAAACTTATCTAACTAGAGATAGTTTAACATTAAATAAAACGTAACAACTATATGGGGCTCCTTGCTCGCTCAGAGGATGTTGAAACCCCCAACTCCCTCTAGATCCACCACTACATTTCTTCTCTGTCTTGTTTTGGTGTGAGATGTGGCGGGAAAAGGCTTGGCATGTTGTAAAACGCGCTTTATCCTTGTCTGTTGGAGAAAAATCTCCTAATATTCTGTCTGATAATAAATTAAGATTAAGTCATGATTTTGAAAATTTTCCGTATTAAAAGTACATTGTGTATTTATATTTACACGTCATTTTAAATCATATACACAACAAATCCTGTTGAAGTAGAAAAAGTAAAATTTGTTTAGGCAATCATATAACGCGGTCCTTGCTTTAGACTATGCCCAACATGTGTGCTTATTTCTCCGCACTTCAGTTACGTAGGAATTTGTCAATCAGGATTGGATGAAACATTTAACCCATTATTCATAAAATTTTAGTTTGATGATTATTATGCGTTTTTAATTTACATTCAGACACTCTTTCTTAATATTCTATTACATGAATGTTAAATATTTTTTATTCAAATTGCTAACTCCGCAGAAACGCACGGCGACTTAAAACTTTCATATCATATAACCGACCGCCTCCTGGCGGCCGGTAATGACCACAGCATCACTGCTGAACATTTTGGTTTAGCTACTAGTCCAGAATGTTTATCTGAAAGACTCTTATAAGTTTAAGAGTGCTAATGCTTTGTAATGAATGTTAGACAGAAAGCTGCCTAGCTCCAGGACGTTAAAAAAGTTGGTGAGGTAATGTAATGATATGGAAAACGGTATTATAAGAAAGTAAGATTGATTTGGTTCGAATTCAATGGACTTTGATGGAAAAAGGTACTCTAACCATGTTCTACCTACACATGCCCATTCAATTTTTCAGCATCCTAGAGCCGTATTGCAATCTCACAATACACAACCGCATACGGCTCGTTTGACAATCCAGTTCTTGCAGAGATTTAATCCATATTAAGCAGCATTGAACAAAATGGATTGACATGATTTGCCAAAGACAATCGCATCCCCAGACTCTGCAACAGCTGACCAAAGTTCTACATTTGGAGTGGGAGAGTATTCCTATACAGTTTTTATTACACACATTTGTTTCCATTAGATGCCGTTTGTGGCTATCTTTTGTGTCTGCGGGGGGCATACCAGATACATGTATTGATTTTTAAGACCGCGGAACATTAACTGGCAAAATTGGAAATATACAGCTTACGTCATTTCTATCTGTTCTATCAAAACATTCAGTGATAGACAATAAAATGGGCGGGTACAACGCGGACGAGAGGAAAACATCGGATTGAAGTTGAAGATCGAAATTCATTTTCAATCCACCTCAGCTACGCTAGAAGGCACATTATTACAGATTGACCCAGAAGACAAATAATTTCAATTTGGGTACAGTTTGAAATTTTTTTTGTCCAGTGTTAAAAATAAATTAATATTTAAGGGACAAATATTTCATTTCTGTTTGGAAAATATATGTATATCCAGGGACCTATATAACTAACTAGTATATATATAGGTCCCTGGTATATCTTTGTGTTGGGGGGGGGGGCTGAACAATTTTAAATAAAGTTGTCCAACAGTTTTCAGTGAGAATAAGTATAAAACTCATGCACTCTTATAATCCTACAAATAAAATATATTGTCATGTTAAGCCATGACCTGACTCGACAATTTTTTACCTCCCCCCTTCTAAAATCAAATATCTCCTGAAAAATAATCTTTATCTTCTATGATCTTTCGCGTTCTTAAAATTATAAGCTTAAACTCATATTAATGTGAACTTCAAACAATATGTATTTGGGAGTCGAAAAATAGTTGATTTTTGGATCATACATTCACTCTTTGCTTTGAAAACAGCTCAGGTGGATTGAAAATGAATTTCGCTCTGCAATTTCAATCCAATGTTTTCCCCCCATCTGCGTCGAATTCTACCCGCCCATTTCATTGTCTATCACTGAATGTTTTGATTGTAACAGATAGAAATGACGTAAGCTGTATATTTCCAATTTTGCCAGTTAATGTTCCGCGGTCTTAATGGCCTGAAACTGACTATGACTTTAAAATTGATGAGTAATTATGACATTTAGAGAGTATTCCTGTTGCTTACCACATTTCTGTTTTATCAATGCATCATTTTACTAAATAATCTTTGTGTTTAATGAACAGAACAGAACAGAACAGAACATTTTATTACTAATTTAGAGCCCATAACAGACAAGTATGAGATTGTTATAATAATAAGGAAAAGATAAGCCAATGAATAGCAAAACAATTATACAATTAGTCACTAAAATTCTACTATGCGTTTCTTTTTTTGAAGAGCATTATTATGGCTGCGCACCCTGAAATGCATGCCAAGATTAAATGCAAAATGCTCACGGATAATAGTTATAAATGACTAACCTTAATTTGTCTCTTCCAATTATTTAGATGTAAATAAATAAAAGAACAATTAAATAAGAAATAACCCTTTACCTAATTTTGCGCACTCTTCCAATTTTTGTAAATGCGGGTTCGCAACTATATTTTACCTCGGGAAGTCAATTAGCGCATGCGCTCTTCATCAAATTTTATTACTTCCTGTTGATGTTCACCGGTTCCACATCATCACTGAATTCTCATTTTATTTGATCAAAATGCACATCATGAGGAAAGACAAGAAGGAGGAGGAAGAAGGTGACTATTTTCTAAAAGAAATATTTTATTCGATTTCAGAGCAATCGACTTCTCCGGTGTGAGAAAAGCCGTTTTGTGGCGTAATGTAATATTGTGGCTTAAATCAGTAAAACCCCATGTTAAGATCATAGATGGGAAGTCAAGTTCTGGTTAACATGATAATTGATTGGTAATCATGCAACACAATGTCAAGTGATCACACTATCCATGCCTCATCGCACACGAAATATATGGACAGAACTTGACTAAAACAATCAGGTCCAGTACAATCTCTTGATTTAGCTATACTAGTATAGCTTTAAATAGCAATGTAGCTTTATCAAGCTATTCAAAATAGCTTTATTTAGCTATTTATATACAGTTTTTCACAAAAAAGTTTTTGCTGAAAATAAACAAAAAGTCGCACGTATTTGACTCCATATTTGTACTAAGGGTTATCAAAACAACAACCAAAATCAAAGATAGTTCTAACTTTGCAGCTTTTGAATACTTTTAAGCAAAAAGAGAATTTCTATTGTTAGACTAACTGTCCACTACCTTGGGTGCCTTGAGGCAAGGATAAGTATGATTGCTTCTCATTGTGCTGAACTGTTACCAATCAATTATCTTGTTGAACATAATTGGTCTCCATTATAAAATCATTGCAGAAGTAACTGTATTATCAATTGCTTTATATAGCCCCAAAACTTGTAAAACTTTGAGTTCAAAGTCTCGCAAGGAGACGTAATTTGATGAGTGATTTTTACGTGCATTATTTTAAGAAGAGTTCAAAGTTGTATATCATCACTGCACCAAGGTGCGCTTTTTTGTGCATACTGAGAAAATTACACCTTTAAGAAAAAAATGTAGTAAAATAGCTAAATTAAGCTATACAGAAAAGCTTAATAAAGCTATTTAAAGCTATATAGCTAAATCAAGAGATTGTACTGGACCTGACAATAGCATCTTTTGCTCAAAAGTGTTCAAATGCAGCAAACATGGCAAAGTTTTAAACATTTCTGCTTTAGATTGCTCTCTTAAGATTTACCTATTTTTTATATCAGTAATCAAATACTTGTGACTTTGTTTTTGTTTTTTCTCAATTTAAAAGCAAAATTGTGAAAATTTGCATTGAAATAGCTAAATAAAGCTACCTGAGGTAGGTAAATAAAGCTACGGTATATAATTCTACATATGTAGCTAATTGTACTGATTAACTGGACCTGACATTTAAAGTACCGTATAATCCCTATTAACCGCCCCTACCCCTATAAGCGCCCCCTTAGGTCTTTTTCAACTGTCAGGAAATAAGGGCCCCCTTTACAGTGATCAAAATCGTCCAGAATCGTATCAAAAGTCCGCCATTATGAAGAAAGTGAAAACGAAATTTTTTTATTGGGTAACTCATACATAAATATTCTTGAAAGTAAAAGATTTTTAGAATGACCTGATCATGTATTTCTGAAAGTGAAAGTTAAACATACAAGTACAAAATTTGTTCTCCTTGTCTATTCCCTACTTTCGAAGTGGGAAAATGAGTCATATAGCATAATTTGGGTGGATTATTGTAATTTAAAGGAAGGTTAGGCAATAATAAATAGATTGCTAGATTCTCATCCGAATTTTTTTTAAAATCGAGGCGGGCGGGCGGCTTTTATTTTATATTTTTTATTTTTTTCAATTTTGCAGATTTTTTATTGACCTGGTCAATCTGTGTAATTTTATCTAAAATACCCGAATAAAAGTCATAGTAAAGGTTCAATTATCTCTTACTTCACACCATCACCAATCTTTTTCAACCAATGACCCTTCTTTAAAATATATACGCATGTATTACAGCAATTACCATCTAATCATGTCGACTTTCGCGGGATTTTTAAAAACGAAAGTAGAATGGTAGATGAATACCGATCCAGATCAGAATTCAGACGAAGAAAAACAGAAATAAAAAAAATCGAGGCGGGGGTCTAAAATCGGGGCGGGCGGGGATGAGAATCTAGGAATATTTTTATGATGGCCTTAGACAATTTTTAGTGGTTCTCTGTTATTTGTTTTTTTTTCAAAAGATTTCTGGAAGTTAGAATATGACATTCAAAATTTTAGCAAGAGTATTAAAATAACCGCCCCCTTTCTGCAGTTTTCTAAGCGCCCGGGGCGGTTAATAGGGATTATACGGTATTTATGTTTTTGATAGTATGCATTGCAGTTATACATAATTATCTTTAACCATTCACAGTATCTTGTTACATGCGTATGAAAAATACAATAGTCCATGGATTCAAAATCAAACAGGTGCTCAATCACAAGCCATTTAGTTTTGTCACCTTTTTTGTCATATTTTGAGGAATGGGGGTTAAGGTATAATAGCCTGATTGGGATATAGAATCAGAAATGATCCCAAACTGAACTGAACTTGCAGTAAGTCATTGAGATTGGTAGAAAACATTCCTTCTTCAATTCTCGGCACTTTGAAGTTGAAGTTGCAAGTACTTTGGATGAGACCTAAAAATTGAGGCCCCATGACAGGGTAGACATTGGCAGGATTAAGAATGGCTCTGAGTGCTAAGTAAAGGTTAAATTTGAAACTCTTACCTGGTATTTGGTGATATACTAGAGAAAATTCTTAAACAGGTGTAAAACAACGTACAATCAATCTGTTTATTTTGCTTTTTAGGAGGAGGAAATCCATTCCACAATTTGGAGAAGACGGCAGTTCTTCAGGAGGTTAGTTCATTTGCCAAGTGATAATGATTGTAAAATATTCATTTTAGGTTTTTGTTAGCCTTTGAATCAAGTGAATTTTATCCATTCTTACACTTAATACATGATATGTTATATTTCTAATAAACCTTTTCAGGCCAGGACATTTAATGAGACCCCAATCAATGCAAGAAAGTGCAGCCATATTCTGACTAAAGTTCTCTACTTGATCAATCAGGTACGCTACTCCTCAAAATATTCAAATTTAAATTCTAGTCTCCATAAATCAGGTGGGTATTATCATGATTTCCACTACATAATTTTCACAAAATCAAGTTATTTGAAAATAATATGCAGTAAGGCTGATTTAAAGGCTCTTGTAGCAGAGGCACATGTGTTTGATGTCAAGTACTGCTAAGTAATATGGTCTGTAATTGTCTGGCATGTTGTTTGATAGTTAAAAATTCTTGACACACAAGTTATTTTCCTACCATTTTCCTTCTGTAGATTACACAACATGCACAAGAAAGGACGCAACAGACTTTCACTGAAGTTTTTTTTTTCATTAAAAAATAAATATTCATGAAATTTTTGTTAAAAGAATATGCTTGTGTTATTCTTAACATATGGTAACCAAATAACCATATACTGTGTCTGTGGAAATAAATTGTTTTGTTTGTAGGATTTTTTAAAATCTTATATTTATCATATAATTATCCTCAACTACAAAGTCAGTCAGATGTAAAAATTTCAGACAATTACCATATCTCTTGAAATCAAATGACACTGATTAACTAATAAGTTTATTTTAATTTCGTTTGAAATCTTCCTTCAGGGAGAGCAGATTGGATCAACTGAAGCTACAGAGACATTCTTTGCCATGACAAAGCTTTTTCAGGCCAAGGATGTAAGTTACATATCATAATACTTTTCATAAGAAAAAGTCATAAGAATTCTGAGACATGGGGATAAGATTTGTGAATTATTCATGAAAAGTATTATGTAATTTCGAATTCACTTAATCATAGAGTGATAGACACTGCATTTGAGAGAGAGAGAGAGAGAGAGAGAGAGAGAGAGAGAGAGAGAGAGAGAGAGAGAGAGAGAGAGAGAGAGAGAGAGGGGGGATTAAAATGTCTATAAAATATTCATGAAAGAATATGATGTATGATGATATGGTTCTGAACACATTTTAGCCCATTTTGCGAAGGCTGATGTACCTTGGAATAAAAGAAATGTCCAAGATTGCTCAAGATGTCATCATTGTTACTAGCAGGTAAAGTATGCAACCATGCATTGCTATTTGCATAAATATGAGAAGTCAGAGTATTTTGTCTCTTAACAAATCCTTTTTAGGACTTTGATTAGAATTGGCTCCTTGACATTCATAATTTTGATAACTCTCTGAATTGTAGTTTGATGAAGGACATGACAGGAAAAGATGACCAGTTTAGGGGACCAGCTATCAGAGCTCTGTGTTCCATCACTGATGTTAGTATTCTGGTTTATTCCTAAACCCATACCCCTGCCCCCCCCCCCCCCCCCAAAAAAAATCTTTTGCATCAAGAATTGATTTTTATTCATGTAAAAATCTGAACATCAGAAAACTGATGTTATAAAATTAAGCATTAAAACTCTTGCCTTCTGTGCATTTACAGCAGCTTAAGTACATGTTCTGGATTTTTTATTTTGTAAAAGTTGAGTTGAGAAATATAGGATCTTGTTATTTTTAGAACACTATGCTACAGAGTATTGAGAGATATATGAAGCAGGCCATTGTGGACAAAAACCACGCTGTATCCAGTGCAGCTCTCGTATCCTCCCTGGTAAATATGATCTGTAACAGAATCTTTTATTTTCATTAAATTTCAAGTAAGAAAAGAATTATGGAAAATCCAAAAAAAAAAAAAAATAATGTAAATATAAAAATATGAATTTTCTATTGAAAGTTAATAATCTGGGATAGAATTTCTGCCTATTGGAAATCCTAAAAAGATTAAGGATTTTTCAGAATGAAAGAAAAAGAGAAGTACATTCATGGGAAAAAAACAAGCAAATTAATGATAAAAGTTACTATTGTAGCATCTGAGTAAGGGAAGCTCTGAGGTGGTCAAGCGCTGGGTGAATGAGGCACAGGAGGCCGTGTCCAGTGATAACATAATGAATCAGGTAATGTTCTGTCATAATTACATGGATAATTGCAATATTTTGTATGTACATGTGGTGTTTTTAGCTCACCTCAATGAAGTTGGGGGAGCTTATGTGATACCCTCAGCATCAGTGTCCCAGGTTAAGTTTTTTGGAGCAGTTTTATTTATAAGTACTTCTATACCCTATATTGATTATTGCATGGAAGATGCTTCTAGTGTGTTTCATTGTACCAGTCAAGGTTTCAGATGATGCAATGTCAGCAAAGGAATGACCACGTTAATGTTTTTGGAGCAGTGTTACATTTTTGGTGCAGTTTTTGGTGTAGTCTCATTTCTAAGTTACTATGAGCCCATAATGATCAAACTTTCATGGATGATACATCTAAGGATGCACACTACCAGACTTGCTTCGCATGCTGAATCTGACCAACATTTTCAGGATGAGTGAACAGGTTAAAGTTTTTGGTGCAGGTTTCATTTCCAAGTGACTATGAGCCCTATATTGAACAAACTTGCATGGATGATACAAACATTTAAGAATGCACACTAATGGAATTGCTTTGGATGCCGAAATCGACATACATTTTCCAGATAATGGACCAGGTAAAAGTTATGGGTGCAAGTTAAACACCAAGAAACTATAAGACCTATAAAATTAAACTTGCACAACTGATGTATCAAGGTATGAAAACTCTCAAACTTGCTTCAGATGCTGGATTTGAATTACATTTTCTTGATGGGCGACTAGTTTGAAGTTTTTGGATAGGTCTATTCCAAAGTAAATTCAAGCCCTATCAGATCAAAATTGCATAAATTTTGCATTTTTGGATATACACTTTTAGAATGTTGGTTAATTACGTGACTTTGGCTTACTTAAAGACAGCATATGTTGAGGTGAGCTCTGTAATCTCTGATTAATACCTATGTTTATCATTATGGATCACCTGTCAGAACTCTTACTATATATCTGTATTTAGTGCATTAGTTTCCTTTTACATGAAAAGCTTTACACTAGCTTGTTTTTTAACCTATGTACTGTGGAATCATAATGTTACTTGTTATTGGGGGCTTTATTTCTTAGGCTTCTTGGTTAAATAATAAATATGGTAGATTCAATAAATCGATATGTTTAAAAAATAGATGTTTGTAACTTGTAAGGGTGACCCATGAGATCCACTAACATTAGTCCCCCACCAAAAATATGATTCCAGTTTCCATTTGTTTAATAACTTTCTGTTTATATTCATTTTTATATCAATTTATTTATTGACATCACCATGTTGGTATATAATGAAAACAAGAAGTCAACTGACATACAATGGAAAACAAGAAATAAACATTATATGATAATTACAAGCAATACAATTTTGCACCATTGTTTATCATGTCTATAGTCGTTGGATTTATTTTCTCTGCATAAAGCATTAATCTAAGTACTTACATAAACGTTTATTATTATTATAATCACATGAGTTAAATATTTCTTTACTGGGATCAGTACCACAGTATATAATTTATCATCAAAAATATCACAATATTGAAATCAAAGATTGTCATATACAGGACAGTAAAGAACAAAATGTTTTTCATTTTCAACCAAAAATTTACAAGCATAGCATAAAGTTTTTTCCTTCTAACAAATCTTATCTGGATATTAAATTCAGATTACTGATTGTAGAATTATCTTTCTGTTATTTGATATTGAAATTTCTCTTTATTGATGTTTCAGTACCATGCTTTGGGTCTTCTTTACCACATCAGGAAGTATGATCGTCTGGCTGTCACCAAGTTAGTCAGCAAGTTCAGCAAGCACTCTCTCAAGTCCCCGTACGCCTACTGTCTGCTGGTATGTCTGGATCACTTACTGTCCCTTCACATAAAGTTCTAAAAAGAAACCTTTTTTCAACTAGAAAATTAAAAAATACAAAAGTTTCCACTAAAGTGTTATGCTACACTGTGGTATTTTGTGTGACAGTATTTTTGTTTGTAACTTCCTCCATTTACTTATTTATTGAGATTTTTTTTTCCTTTCACAGATTCGTATTGCCAGTAAACTAATGGAAGAGGAGGGAGCAGGGTGAGACAATGGTTTTCTTTGATTGCATTCATTGTGCCTTAAATTTATTTGAATTAATGTAAAAATTAGTTTCAATATTTAGACATGATTTGGAACTGGTTTAACCTAAAATCATGAGAGAATAGAATTGACCTAATTTTAGATTTTAACAGTTTGATAATGTTTGGTTACCGTTATCTGAGATACAAAGCATTATTCCAAAGTGTTAATTTTACAGGACAGAGAGTCCTATGTTTGACTTCATTGAGAACTGTCTTCGACACAAGAGCGAGATTGTCATCTATGAAGCTGCTCATGCTATTGTGAATTTGAAGAACACCACAGCTAAGGAGCTGGCCTCCGCTATCCCAGTTCTTCAGTTGTTTTGTAGCTCACCAAAGCCTACACTGAGGTTTGCCGCCATCAGAACTCTTAACAAGGTAAGAGGCCTCCTCCCCACCCAAACCAATTCCAGGCTATCCTGTTATATTATTACATTTAGTATTTTTGTTGAAAGCATAAAAAAGGAAATGAAAAAAAGACCATTCATATGAATCCTTTTCTACTTGTCAATAAAACATAAATTGAAAATTTTTTTTTTGTTTGTACAAGGGTTTGAAGGATATATGATTTATTTTCACCTATATCATCAAAGTGTAGAAAAAAAAATGATGTGATAAAATAAGAATATGGACATGTTACTGACTGTATTTGTCTGTTGAAGGTTGCAATGAAGCACCCAGCTGCAGTGACGGCCTGTAATATGGAACTAGAAAATCTTATCACAGACTCTAACAGAAGCATCGCGACACTGGCCATCACAACACTGCTCAAGGTAGGTCACTCTTACTGCCACCAGTACCACAGAATATGTCACAGGAGTTGTCTTTCTTATTTCTATGTGTACATTTAACCAAGAATGGTGAAAGAAAATAGACTAACCAAAATAATTAGAAAAAGCATAGAAGAAACTTCTTCGTTCAGACTTCAGTAAAAATGATTACATGATAAAAATGGTAACCTCAAATGTTATTACATCTCATTAGCCCAACATTTATGTATACATGTATGTTTAATGCAGGATAAGATAGTTAGAGCTATTTATTTTTAGACTGGTAATGAGAGCAGCGTGGACAGATTGATGAAGCAGATTTCCAGTTTCATGAATGAAATCTCAGATGAATTCAAGATAGTTGTTGTACAGGCTATTCAGTAAGTACTACAGCAAACATAGATAAGATCGTCACAAACCATTATTGTCTATGGTAGTGAATATTTGTCAAACTTTGTCAAAAATTAGGATTCAAGTAACTAGATCAGATTTATGTATTGTCAAAGTGTAAACAAGTTATTTAGTGATTTCTGCAACGAAGTTTTTCACTTAAAATAGTGTATCGAAGATTCATGTAGATCTTTTTAAAATCTTTTTTCTTAATTTTGAATATTTTTCATTCTAGATCACTATGTTTAAAGTTCCCCAGAAAGCATAATGTGTTGATGAACTTTCTGTCTTCTATGCTGAGAGATGAGGTAAAATTCATTCCTTTAACAATTTTCATCCTCATAATGACAGCGCAAGCAGAAAATTTTTTCTTGTCTAAAAAAAGAAAATAATACAAAAGGATTTTGATGACTGTAAATTGTATATAGCTTGTTAAAAATATTGAATTGGAGTTCTTTAAATGATGTGTTTAGGGAGGATTTGAATACAAGAAAGCCATCTGTGACAGCATCATCACAATCATTGAGGAAAATGCTGATGCCAAAGAAGCAGGTATGACAGTGTACTATAATATGCTAATACAGTTGAACTTTGTTATCTCGAACATAATGTCTTGTTATTAAGTTTACCTAGTTTCTTTTCAATATATTTCTGTATAAATTCTGGAGCTTCCTATGGATCTGTTTGTTTACAGGTTTGGCCCACTTGTGTGAGTTCATTGAGGATTGTGAACACACCGTCCTGGCCACCCGAATCTTACACCTACTGGGGAGGGAGGGACCCAGAACCCCCACCCCCTCCAAGTACATCCGCTTTATCTACAACAGGGTCATCCTGGAGCACGCCCCAGTCAGAGCAGGTAAGACAGAAGATACATATAAAGTATGTAATTTGGAGAGGAATTAAAAAAAGAAAATCAAATTTTAAGTTGCATTTAAGAATTGATTAATGTATTGTAAGGGGCACATAAGGTCAGTAAAAATGTATCACTGGTTTGCATTGATCGAAGGATATTGAAAAAAAATCTTCTGAAAATGATAGAAACAAACAGCTTCTTATGAAAAAAATGTTGCGAAATCTTTTCCAGCTGCAGTATCAGCTCTGGCTAAGTTTGGAGCTCACTGTGAGGAATTATTGCCCAGCTGTATCGTACTTTTAGAGAGGTAGGATTATTCTTCTCATCCTATAATTACCACATTTGTGTTGTGTAGACTGATAATCCCTATCAGCTGATATTTGAGTTAGTCCTTTTATAGGTAAGTTTAATTTCCCCCTCTCTTTACAGGTGCCTGTTGGACACGGACGATGAAGTCCGAGACAGAGCCACTTTCTATGTTCATGTCCTCCATCAAAAACAGAAGGCTCTCAACTCCGCCTACATACTCAATGGTAAACATCTGATAAATGATTTCAAAATAATTGCCCAGTTTTAACCTCATCTGCATAAAATTTGGCTGTTGTTAGGTGTACTTTTTGCTGGATCATTGCCAATATAAACTTTTTTTCACAATATAACAATTATTTGAGTGTATCATGTAAAAAAAAAAAGGGTTTTGGGTAACTATCCTTTGTATTTTTGTTGGTGACAAGTTTTTATTACCATGACAATTTTAAATTTGTTTTTCATTATAGCAGTGTTTGTTAATTACTTGAGATGAATTGATGTGCTAGCCTCGGGTTCTGTTTTAATTTCAGGTTTACAGGTGTCTGTAGTTGGACTAGAGAGAGCCCTCCACCACTACACATTGGAGCCCTCAGAACAACCGTTTGACATGAAGTCTGTACCACTGGAGACCACACCCATCACGGAACAGAAGGCTGGTAAGGAAGATTAGTGTACAAATTGTTCATGGATAAAAAATGATTAAATTTCTAACTTTTCTCTAGCTCTCGAAGAAAGCAGTACAAACTTTTAGAACTGAAGATATTCAAAAATTAATCTATGAAAACATAAAATGCATTGTACATGTCAGGAGTTCTTTTACTCTGTATCATATTTGAGAATCAGTGTATTGTAACATTTTCTGCAAAGGAATAATTTAAAAAAAAAAACATTGTCTTGACAGTGAGGGAACCAGGTGAATCTGCGGCACCTAAAGCAGAAAAGGTGGCAGCTTCCAGACAAGATGTATACGCTGGTAAGGGGAGTTCATTCTGGAACTGTTCAGAAATTCTTATTTTCTGGCTCCATTAATGTGTGATCATGTAACAGCTAAGAATTACAATAAGAAGAGGGCTATTATGCCTTCAATCCTTCAGTCTGTTTGTGTTTATATGTAAGATGTTTAGTTGTGAATTCAGAATTTGATACATTTAATTACAGAGCAACTGAGAGCCATACCAGAGTTTGCTAATCTGGGGAACTTGTTCAAGTCGTCGTCTCTGCCTGTGGAGCTCACTGAGTCAGAAACAGAGTATGTGGTGCAGTGCATCAAACATACCTTTGGACGATACATTGTATTCCAGGTACTGTCTTTTTATTCTTGTTTTTATAAATATTCCTTCTGATATTGGAAATAGAAAGTTTTGTATACATACCGTATAAGTGGAAATTTTAGAGAGACACAAATTTAGCGATTTGTTCTTAAAAATCTGTATCTTATTTTAAGCGAGATATAATTTTAGTGATTTTAAAAGCTCTCTAAAGAAGCTATTACAATTAAAGTGCAATTAATTTTTAGCAATATTTAATTTTAGCGAACTTGGCACCCTCACTAATCATGCCAAAATTAAATCCTCGCTAAAAATTCTACTTTTACGGTATTCATTCTTTCAGGGCCATTTCTCCCACTATAAAATTTATTTATTATAAATACGTACGTAATAGTTTATACATGTAGTAAATTATATGGTTGAAAGATTAAATCAGATCTTTTTTGTTTTAATTTATTCATTTAAAATGAAAGCTCTCCAGGAGTGAATAAAAAAATTACAACAAAGCTAAAATTCAAGACTTTTTGATATCCACTGCTTTAAAGTACATAGTTAGTGATACATTTAATGTTTGTCTGTAGTTTGACTGTACTAACACTCTGAATGACCAAGTCCTGGAGCGTGTGACTGTCCAGATGGAGCCAGCAGAGGGATTTGAGGTTCTGAAGATGATACCCTGCCCCTCCCTGCCGTACAATAAACCAGGCACCACCTATACCATGGTCCGACTACCTGAGGATGCCCAGCTAGGTACA